ACTTGGTTCCCGAGCTCATATTTGTTTGTTCTTTTTATCTTATTTTAGTACGTCAGTTCTCCGGAGTCAGTATTCATGCACTGAATTCGCATCGTGAACAGGTCTCCGTCTTTCGAAAAGCCCTCATTCAGTTCAGCGTCGGTGGCCGATTTTTCGATCGTCACGAGTCACCTATAATGTACGAACACGAGCGGGATACTCACAGCCTCCTGCCCAGATGGGTTTACATTCCGCTGGAGCGTCGGATTGGAGCCTTTGTCCGCATAACTCTGACCTTTGATTTCGACTGGATTGTCCTCTCGGAAATCGCATTCAATTCGAGTGAGTCTTATATCTAGTTTTTAATGCGCTTTTCGCCACTTTTCTGCAAACACTCCAAAACAACCCAAAAGTTGCCGACAATGCGCCTTGTGGCTTCCGTGAAATTTCGGTAGCGCCGTAGCCGCCAAATACACTGCATGGGATTTTTCCTGCTTTATGTTCGGACTTCGATGGCCGATATGAGCTCTGCTGGGTACAGGATAAAATTACCTAGGCCTGTTTTCTTGTTTCTTCTCACGAACAAAGACATGGGAGAAGAGCTCTCAGTGGCATGGTAAATAATGGAAGACACAAAAATGGAAAGACAAAAATGGAAGACACAAAATGATATATACATAGCCATAAATAGTTATTCTAGTCAGGATTGCGCGCACACCCATATATTAGTTTCCCGGAGCAAACAAACTCTCTTAGTTATTTAAGTCTTGCAGACATTGTCCTTGCCCTGAGGCACGACCGAGACATAGGCCGTATGATTCAAAGCCCTTTTTTAATGTTCAGTCTTATCTGTTGATATATGAGCATGAGTCCATGGGGTGGGAGCACACCTATCCCTGAAATTAGGGTGTGTTTGGCTGACAGCTATTAATCCAGAAATGGTCATCTCAGTCTCCTTTTGTCCTCTTCAATGCTGCCCAGTGTAAACAAAGGACTCGTAAAATCCTCCCGCGACGGTTAGGGACTGA